AACGGTCTACTTTAGGACAACGATGTAGAGTGAGAACAGGTTCACCCATTCAGACGTGAGAATTCAGATGCGTCCAACGTGCGCTGGTGGAATAGTGGTAACATGTTCGCCTCGCATGTCAGGTGTCCGGAGTTCAAACCCCGGCACGGCCATTGCATATGCACTGCTGATGATCTCTAACAAGAGCGGAACTCGAGTCTAGTGCTTTCCTTTGGTGTGCATTCACATGAATAATTGGGCCAGGACAGGAGGACGACTGTTCAAAACGAGAGTGATGTGAGACTGAACAATAAACCTCCCGCAAAAACCATCACATGCAAGAAATGTTATTAATCAGGTGAAAACCCGAAACTTCTTCGGAAAATTTGCCGCGCAAGACGCTTTTTGCCGGTACCTACCATTCTCAGGGGGGATTCTAATGGATCTTAAACACAATGTGAGTTTTTGTGGTTTTTGTAATTCATCCGTTTGCTTTCAAGTATGTTTGCACTCTGCCTGATGAATAGAAAGTAGAGAAGGTGAGTCCCGCAGAAAGTAAAGGTCTACGAAGTTATGGCATTTTAGCGCGTCTTTTTGTTGATCTTATATGGCCCTAAATTCAACCTCATGTCTCGATCGGATCCCATCACCTCTCGCGGTCATCTTTATTTATATTTCAACCTATCTTCGGCAATTATGAAATTCGGCTGAATTTATTATATAAAGCGTTATCAGAAAAATTTAAGAGGCCTTAACAACAAGCCATGTTACACAAAATTAGCAATATTTACCAGATTCTGTCGATTCAAAAAACATTTTTGTTTTCCGAAAAGCAGTGCATTCATTATTGATTGCTATCAACTTCAGGTCCAGCGCGAAAGGAAGTAAATTATAAGGTTTAAGCTAAATAATACATAACTGTGCTTAAAGAATAGTACCAAATGCATCCTTATTCATTCTGTGTTCACATTAGTATATTTAGAACATCAGTCTATAGCTGAAGCTTTAGTGACTCATTTGAATACCAGCCACCTACTCAGCAAGGAATTTTTCGCAGCTACATAATAGCTGGAAGCAAGACATGAATGGATGCGGTGAAACTGTATCAAGTGTTTGTGGTACTCAATGGGGGAGTTTGTACTCTGAAGCATTTTATAACTTTTATGGTCACAAGGAATTATATGTTTCATATTCAGACAAACATCATACAAATTAAACAAATTCGAACTTATAGTCTTGGTCGGAAAACTTTTTTTCTGGCCATCACTTTGAGTGCACTAAGCATTTTCCAAATGGCTGCAATAAAAATAAATGAATTTTCTGGATTCTGGCGTACCGTTGACACACATGGCGGCTTTTCAAGTATCTAGTCTGGATTTCAATTTACACTCACAGTTTTTGCATCATTGTTTTGGTTAAGGGTGCCTTGCTGCACGTTTTGCTGCAAGTCTAAGACAGCACCATCAAGTAGGCAACAATTTATACGTTCAACATGCAACGATGGAAGACTTGCCATTTTTCTTACACGTCAACTTAACTCTGGAGTAATTTAGGAGAAATTCCAGAAAGATCTTTACTTAAATTAGTTCAAAGCTCCAACTCAAAGTTTGTCTTTCAATTTTAGTTAGAAATCAGTGGATACAGGAGTGAGTTGCTTTCTGTTAGACCTCTCTAAGGATGACACTGCATCCGGATACATTACGCCAAGTAGAAGTAGAGAGCAATATTGAGATAGGTACCAGTGGGCATCGCGTCGTTACAAAAGCATATCAAACATGGTAATTTATTGTCGGTTTCAGTTTTCCAGCTTGGTTGTTTCGAAACCTTCTGCTGATAACGTTTTCCAAGTGCATTCAAAGGGAAAAGAAATTGTTTACGTTACTTAAAGCAGGGGTTTCCTGAGCTTGTAAAAGTGACCTTTAGTATTATGCATGCGTTTAGCGAGCAGATGTGCATCTACGCTTCGGTATTCATTGACGGCATGCCCCCTATTATAAGCACGTTCGATTCTTATGCCCTTGTCCTCACTCAGACGTACAACTTTCCGATTAAACTAATATCAAATTAGTCGCCAAAATATTTATATATCACCGACCAGGACAAATTAAACGTCAGCAAATTTTCCCTTAATATTTAAAAAGTAAGCTGATGCTCCGTATTTTAGCAAAATTTGTGTAAAAATGCATATCAGCATTGGGATATTTTTTGTCCTTTCCATTAGGAAACGTTTGGTGTCCCAGAGGAGTTGGCTGTTTTGCAAATAACCAGCCTCTCATAAATCATTACGATTAATTCAACGTCTAATTTCGTTTATATACTTTTCGCTACACTTTCTTATAAGACGCAGCGCCAAACGCAAAAGATTGTTGCTTTACTCAAGTAGCCTGAAAAAGCTTACACACAGCTTTTTTCACTGATAACCCGAGCTCTTCTAATATCCGGAAACATTGTAGCCTGTCACGACGGTCCTTGCTGTCCTCTCCGGATCTGCAACTTTTCTACAGCTCAAGGCTTTCTCAAGAGAAATTAATTTTTGAAGTTAGGCTGTTACCAACATTTATCAGCAGACTTTTGGTAGCACGGGTTTAGCTTCATCCACGATGGGCTCAAGTGCTCCTGTTGTGGCTTTGAATGACAACCTAAAGTGACAATCCCAAAAAATGCCAGTCTCCGTCTCCAGACAAAGAAAAGAGACAATGAAGTAACAAAACGTTGCTTGCTCTACCAAATTATTTACGAAGATCTACATTCCTCTTTCTGCAAAACTTTGCTGCCTTCATTAGCAACATGATGGCTTTAGAGCGTTTTGATGAGGCGTATAGACTACCACATTGGTGGTAAAAATTTTCCAATCCTCGCCTTAAACCTTTTACAGCACCATCGTTATACTCATGCGACAAGTTGTAATCAAAGTTTTATATGCTTCTTAGTTGTTTCAGGGTACCAAGGCTTCGTCCTCTAAGTTATGAGGTAGTAGTCTTGTTTTTTTATGGACGTAAGACCAGGGCAGTCCGTAGTAGGGCTATATAATAAAACAATATAGGATACCATCCCTCAGGTGCTTTGTAACCAAAACAGAGATGGTGTTTGTTCATAAAATTGGGAAAATTTGACCTCCAGTTGGATTTCCTTCCGCTATCGACATTGTCTGTATAAGCTCAGACTTCGGCAAACGTCAAAGAGCATTATCTTTCGGAATTTTTCATTTATTACATGCCGCCGGAATTTCGCAGAGCGCCAAAGTATTTTATTTATATTTTGGTATAGTTTGCCGTCAGCACCTAACTGTTTTATCTTCGCCATGCTGTTGTTCCTCCTGTTAGTGTCTGATGCAATTGTTTTGCAGTTGTATATATCTGGAATAGCTTTCTAACCACTATCGCACTTGTATTACTACTGTTATGACTTTCGTGATTTTATTGCTTAAGGAATATGTCGCACAATTAGAAGTGCCCCAGATTGTTTAATTCTTTGAGACACGTTTCATACAAGTCTGATTCACGGTGGTCTGCAATAATGTACAGGTTTTTTGAACCTCAGATGCGATGGATCTCAAGTCATAATCTACGCCATAATCGGCAGTTCCACAAACTCCATCCAACCCCTGCTAATTCTGTTTACGTTTTTACACCATTCTGGATAACTGGTTTCCTTAAGTCACGCAGACAAAGTTTCACCGGATCTCCTTATTTACGCGCATGTCAGATGCAGCTCAGTGTGGTTTCTTCCTTTCACTAATAATGTTTTACTCGTCCCATATAGAAACCTGTTTGGTTGAGCGAATGTGTAGCGTGACATCCTGACATTGTCCAGTGAAAAAGGGGATATCAGAAAACTTATGTCTTTTCCCGAGAGATTCTCCCGAAACCCTCTACAAAATGCTAGATAAATGCTGTCTTCTCTTCTTCCCTATGGTCGAAAATTTCCTCTATCCACTTGAATTTTCATTTGTGATGTGTCTGAAAGTTCTAATGACGATGGAATATGGAGAGTATTCCTACCGGCGGATGGAGCATCCCGTGAACTTCACGCTCGGGCCAATACCTTATTTATTGGGCTCTATAATCATAACAGCAATGGTTTTCATCGTTTCATCCATGCGCATATATGAGGTTGTTCGATATATTTATCATGTTTTAAGAGCTTCCACAAGACATTCTTCAGTTGCTGGTTGAAAAGGTACCTTTTGTGACATTGCACCTTGGCAATCTTCATCAGTACTGCCAGAAAACCTGAGGAATGTAGGCTAGTCTCGCATCCCTGCGCATCAGCTGCCTCTTGTTTGATGGTTTTAGTCCCCTGTTGCTAAGTAAGACATCATAATTCAATAGAAGCATTGAAGTCTGAGCTACTTACAGGCAGGGTTCTTTTCGAATTCTGCGTATCAAGACAAGCAGCACTCATGAGATTTTATATCACTGAACAACACACCGAACGAACTAAGCGCCATCCACATCTTCACCTTGCCCTTAATAGACGCAAGAAAACTTAATTCTTTGTTGTAACTGGTTTATTTAGCACTAATACGCATGTTCTGCCTCGATTTATAAAGCAGAACGCTGAGCAACGAACTCGTGCACCTAAGATAGCTACCTCGTGCGAACGTGGGCGTATGTTGCCTATAAAACGTATACGGATACTCATGAGGGACCGTTGGTGAGCTGCCGCCAACTAGAGCACCCAATAATTGTACTGTAGTCCGGATGCCTTCAGGGTGTTCATTATCACGACACCATAATTTACAAAGGAGCAAATAAAACAGCACCTTCCGAAAAATCACTCATTCAATCTCCCCTGCAATTTCCTAAGAAATAGCTTGTGTGAGAGGTAGTGTTCGTAAATGGCTATGTGACAAGCGTAAGAATATCATTTCCAGAAACACCCAAATCGTTCTTAATAGATTTCATGAGATCTTAAAGATTACAACAGCCCGAAAATCCCAGTAAGACATACAACATAAAATTTTCGAGTAGATTGCTGACTTCGTTTTCATTCACATGAATAAACCAGAAGGCACTCACCAAGCACCTTTCTCCTAGCAATACACGAGAAAGCACACAGCTTTTGAATATGCAACTATACCATTGAGTAAATAACCGTTGAAAAGATAAAACAAATTTTACGTTTTTCTCCCACTAGTGGAAGAAAGTACGGTTGTTTCTAGCACTACTCTGGGATTTTTACGTAGATCCATGGTAGCAAGCATCCTCCTACGCTTCGACTAGTGCATGGATGAGTTTCAATTCTTAGCTAGATTGGGTTTTATGTGCGGAGAGCCACCAGCTATTTGCACACCCGAATTATTTTCGCCGACGCAATAGGGTTCTCGAAGCTGTGACTTTACCGGGGAGTTAGTCTAATCCATTCGCATCTTCCGGTGACATGGCATTTCGTTTAGGTGGGCAAAATTTCAAGGTCACGGACTATTACCGATTTGTATTTTCTTTGGATTTTCTTCGATATAAAACACGAAATCACACTTTAGCGTGTTTTGGCCTTCTTCGGCGTTCTTCAAGAATAAAGACATCTAGTGCAGGCTTCGCCCTGTTGTTGACTTTGTTGACGTTTGTTTGCCCTACACTCCCCAGATTTAACAAATGCGATTATAATCGCAAAATATATCTTGTTCGGCGAACCTGGTCAAAAAATATTTTCCCGTCGATCTCAACCTACAAAATACAAAATTTTTGGACAACAGCATGAATTATGCGGTGGCGACGCGAGGCCCATCTGTGTTGACGATCCCCTTTCCCAGATATGCATAGCTAGCTTGTGGATAAGACGGTATCACGAGATAGCCGAAGGCATCATTCCTATTATGAATATGACGCTCTATAGCTGGTTACTGCCATAAAGCGGTCGCCACGATACCGGTAGCCTCGACCATTTATCGTAACTGCTGGCTCCGTGTCTATGTGAGACGCTGATTATGAGACCACACCTATGCAGTAACACAATCCGACGACCAACGACCGTCTTTCATACCTATAACCATACGCAATGCCACTTATCTTTACTACCTATGATAAACTCCAGTCAGGCATTCATGCGAGCTGGTACAGGCCTCAACTATGCGTGATAGCCTAATCTAATGGCTATTGCCGTTGTGTTGAAAGTCCCATTACCTGCTAGTTCCGTGTCCATATGCGGCGTTGATTAACCGGTAACGCAATCCAATCTAATCTGTCCTACTCGTAACGGCACGCGTTGCCGCTTATCTTGACTGCTTATGGAAAACATTGGGCTAGTATTTATGCGAACCGGTGAATACGAGGCCTAAACTATGCACACGTACGTAATCGAGTGGCGAACGACGGACCTCATACTCAGAATAGTATGCGATGCCGCCTACCTTGAGTACTTTTTGAAACTGATGGGCAAGTGCCTATATGCGACACCGATTGTTAGGCCCCAACCACGCGCAGTGCCCCAATATAACTGCCAATGATGGCCAGTCCTACCCATAATTGTGTGCACTCTAGCTTATATCTAGTATCTACAGTAAATAGCAGACCAGCATCCATGCCAGCCGATAAAAACGAGGCTCTACCTATGTGTGATACCTTAATATAACGGTCAACGGCGTCCTTTGCAAAATTTCTGCTCTCTGGTGCCAATACAATATAACTAGTTAAATCGACTAGTTAAACCCAAATTTGTAACCAACACATACTCAACCACCGTTGCAGTCTAACCGACAAGGACCACCCTTATGTGCTTCATCAGACTTATCGTTCATGTCAAAGTATTACAACCCATCTTCACTTCTGAAATCTTGTCCACTATATACGAATAAATAAGCTGGCAAGATAGCCAAAATTCACGCGATCCGACGGTCCCAGATAATGATGATGATGTAGCTGGAGACCTGAAGGACACGTTCTTCAGTGGAAATCCCCTGCGCATAACCGACAAATTGCTGTCTAGATGTTACCCTATGGATTTGCCGGCACCGAATCATACAAGCCGTGGTTTTCAGACAGCCGTTGTCAAACACCTGAAAACGCCTTGCTTCAGCTTCTTCAACAGACTAAGTCTCATAACCACACAACAGGACAGCCCGTGCTGCGGCCTGACACACGTTACTTGATAATCACGGATATTCCACATTGACGCCATGGGCGTTTCAAATTGGCAAACGCCACCCGAGCATTATGGGTTCGTGAATTGACCTCATCTGTCACATTACATTGAAAATTAATGCAGCTTCGAATGTACACCTGAAACTTGCTTCAGCTTCTTCAACAGACTAAGTCTCATAACCACACAACAGGACAGCCCGTGCTGCGGCCTGACACACGTTACTTGATAATCACGGATATTCCACATTGACGCCATGGGCGTTTCAAATTGGCAAACGCCACCCGAGCATTATGGGTTCGTGAATTGACCTCATCTGTCACATTACATTGAAAATTAATGCAGCTTCGAATGTACATAAAACGCCGCACCACACAAACTCTCTAAGCGGATCAGAAAAATACCTGCGATCTGATATAAGCTTTGTTCTCCCTCTGAGGATTTCATCGGCCAACCACCTCATAGGCTTTCACATCCATGTCAAATCATCTCAAAAATGACGTCCGTTACGAGGGGTGTCCAGAAACCGAAGGGTTTAAGCGCAATGATGACATGGCGCTGCTATACCCAGTTTGATAACACACCCGCAACTAGGCTTTCCGTCTCTTGACCCTTTTCACTGTATTGCCCAAATACTCCATTACTTGAAACAACAAACTCGCGCCTCATTCTGACTAACATTTTGATAATGCGTGACGGTGCGCCACACACCTATTGGGAATAAACATCGTTCTGATAGCATGACACTTTCTGGGCACAAAGTGCACATTAATGGTCAGTTCATCCGAAGACACCTGCGCCCTTTCTTCCTCTTCGAAGATAAGAACGATATCTGCATACTCTAGATCAACACGATTTTTGCTAGAAGATATCTGAAAAATGGGTCCGGAAGATAGTTTCAGTGTTCATCTCTTTATCTCGTTGATCACGAAATTAAGTGGGGATGGAGAGAGGACGGTCTCGACGGCACCGCTCTGCGTACGGAATTTTTTGGAGCTCCCCATATATTTCCGTAACATGTCCGCTCATTCTGCACCTCCTGTCCGCAACGATGCAAAAAATTGCAAGGCTGACAACTCTCACTTCAAATGCAGGCCCTCTCCACGCAATGTACTCCTTATAAACCGCCTTCTGCAATGAAGAAAGGGTAAACTAATTTCTGTCGGAGCTTGCCCTAGTTGTGACATACATCCCGAGCAATCGCCATGTGAACCGAAATATTCATTGACAGAAGTGAAGAAGATGCTACGAGACTCGCCAAATACACGTGATGTGAGGCCTCAGAGGCAACTAGTTTTGTAAAGCTACACGCTTTCCTTTGGGCTGCAACAGCTCCATTTTGGGGTCATCTAATCGTGCGAAAAGGCAAAATCACCAGGTATCTGTGATTTCATGCCTGTGCAAGTTACGAGCTATCTTAGTTACGCACAATCTAGCCAATGCACCCCCCATACTCACATCCATCCTTACGAGTTTGTATCGACCGCAGACCTAGTTTCTGCACTTAAATGTCGATTGCCGTTTTTGAAATCGGACAGTGTCGCCTCATTGAAGTAGTTAGAAATGAGGAAAACTTTTGACTGTCTGTAATTTCAGGAGGCTTCCAAACACACATCGAAGTGCATTCTAGAAGGCGCCTTGAGCACCTCTTCTTATTTTGAGTCCACAGTGTAGAAATGGCTGTTTGAATGGCAACAATGGACCACCACGAACCCTCGACAGACCCAGGAATACACTACTGCAATGATAAACATAAACAGCTCATCCAAGATGTTCATGCACGAGGCAGTCCACGAACCAAAGTACGGCTTCGCGATGACGGCACCGCGACTACCGTACCCAGAGCGTGTTACCCAGAATAACGTTTCAGTCCATTCAGGTCGTACAAGAACTTCAAAGTGGTGGCCATCTTACTGCGCCATCTGCTTGTTCTGCTCAGAAACCCAATAGTTCAGCCAACCCACCATTGGTGGCTCGGTAGGCCAGTCATGATCAAACCCTGCCTGAAGCCTGATATAACGTATGCTGACCATCATAAAAAAAACAAAAAACTTACTAGTCGTGACCAATTTCTTAGCTTAAGCAGGACGCTTGCCGCAAACATAGAATTTTTCATCCAAGTTGCGAATGTCCACTTCAATTTGAGTTTGCGCGTACGTATTGTGCGTGATTACTGTCTAAGTCGTTTTCAGGTTATTTCCAAATCTAATGCGTAAGAATACATGCAAAGAACAGATTTTCCTCAAAATTTCCCATAGTTTTCATAGAGCCTGGGCGAAGTCACCCGCGGCCATTAAAATACATATTTCGCGCATTCAGGGAACTTTAAATTCATTTAAACAACTTCTGATAAAACCGCGTCCGCATAGAGAGATCTTAGGCCCCCGAATAATTACCATCGAGTGCTGAAACTTAATGGTAATATTTTTCTTTTCCGGACCACGTTTTCAGAGAAATTTTAAGTGTGCGTCTAGGACGCGGCGTGCGGAGACAAGCGGCGAAGCTTATTGGCAGGTTAAGGAGAAGCGTTGAGCTTTATTTCAAGGAATGCTGCGAGAACCCTACAGCCACTAAGAATGTGAGACTACGAGTTTCCAGCTCCATTCCGTCAAATGTGGCCTCTCCAATTGTGAACACCTTCCCCGACCATACATCCGACAAACAAAGCCACAAACTTAACAACAGCATACCGGATAGTCCTTCACCCTCCCACCTTGCCACAATGACCGCAGGCGACTAGGAAGTGAACACAAATACGATATGAAATTGCCTGCAGTCAAACAAACGGCTTAAATTTCGCCAAATCAGAAGGTTGTTGGCTGGCTTGTAGGTGCGATTCTCCTCGATAACGGGTCTCATGGGAGTGCTACAAAAATGAATACTTCTTGGCGCTGCCACTTAACTTGACGGGCCTCGTAGAGACACCTCGTCGATCAAACTGCGCCAAAATACCCGGCGGCGCTGACCGAACTGATTAGACGAAGAGCTTTGGCTCAACAGGTGATTGCGCCCA